ATTCAAAAAAATTTCAAGCCAAAATCATTCATTCGTTTTGTATTTGAATAATTCAAAAGCCGTTTTGAATGCATTAATGCAGCCCTCTAGTATACATACATACATACATTACCAACTTCTATGAGGGACTCAGGGGTTTTTATTTCTTATCTGTGTTTTCGAAAGTAAAAAATCTTCTTCTGCTTTACGAGTTCTAAATTTTTACAACCAAATCGAGCCGAGAAAATTTCGATATCATTTATTTGAAAAGGAGTTCGAATTAGAATCCGCATTTGGTAAATTTCCGTTAGATGTCAATAAATTACTAAAAAATAGTCATAGTAATGCAATTATTTCACCAGATATTTTAGTCTTTAGGTAGTAAGAAATAGCAAGAATTTAATTCAAAATTGCATGCAGGTATCTTCCAGACTAACCTTTCTCTCCTTATATAAATTGCGCATAGCTAATTTTTTTACGATTTAGTATCGATTTGAGACATTTTTGAAATATTTTTATAAACTTCATTTCATATGTGCTAATAAATAAAACACCTAAGCATGATTACGTCATTAGATCAGATCGTTTTTGGTTGGTAAAAAATAAAGCTATCGTTACATATGTATATGTAGGTCCTTGTGATCGCTGATTGTTTAGGACTATTTACATTTGCTTTTTTCTGGGTATTTTTAATGGAACTCAAATCATTCATTATTATTTACTAAATTCTAATTTATTATTTGTACTTTTTTCTTTTATTCGTAACTCTTAATGCGCTTCATATTGTCTTGTGCACTTACACAAAATCGCATCTAAATGCAAACTTTAAATCTAAATAAATAAAAAAATATTAACATCATCGAATGCATAAAACCAAATCGTCTTCTTGTAAATAAACAAATCACCAATGTCACTTAACGTCATAACAACAACCTGTCTCTATCCGACGCATCATTCATCATTTCGCACAGCATCCACCACCGAGCAACCGAACACCACCAGCAGCAGTACAGCGTACGTCTCCAGCGATAAAAATGATATTTACCCAAGCAAAGCGCACGAGAAACCCGCACGACCTGGCGACGCCTTCTACCCAACCCTCGATGGCAAACCGCCAAAGGGCGCCTCAGCATTTGGTGAACTGCGGCCCGAGAAACACGACAAACATGAAAAGTTCATCAAGAAGCCAGTCATTGTGAAGCCGCAACAGAATGAAGTCAAATACGACGTGCACGAGCCGCAAGATGAGCAAGACACCGCGCCACCGGGCTTTATACCCATACACATTGGCAGACCTGGCGGCGCCATTGTTAATTACAATCCCCACCTGCCGCCAGCTGGCCACCCCGGCCCATACGGCTTCTACAATCCCGCACAGCCACCAAAGGATCATTTCGACCCCTACAATCCTTACGAACCCTACGATATTAGTCCAAACGGCATCGCACAGGGTAAGCCGCCTGCGCCAACTAGTCAATCAGATTTGTTCAACATCTTGGGTGCTGGTTCACCGGCCGCGCACCCACCAGGCATGCTACCAGCGGGCGGACCACCTGGACCAGCACCAGGCTTCAAAGCCACACCCGGCAATTTGCCTCCACACGTGCGCATCGAACACATTCTACAACACTTGCAGCACACGCCCGTGCAGGGTGCCTACAATGGGCCGCAAGGACATGTCAATGAGAGTGGCGCCAATGGACTGCCACCACCACAACAGCAGCTACCACACCCACTACAGCCGGGTCAATCACCATTGCATCCACAATATGTGCCAATTGTGCATAGCGGTCTGCCGCCACCACCGCCACCGCACGGTATAGCGATTGTTGATGGTCAGCCGGTGGCTTATGGCGGCTTCCCCGTAGTACCAGGTCTCGGGCAGCCACCTCATGTGCCACATGCAGCACATTCGGCGAATGTGAATAGCAATAACAATAGTAATTTATTGCAACAACATCAGCCGCAGCCGGTGTCGCCGCCGCAGGAACAATCGGCGAGTAGTTCAAACACATTTACAGCGACTACGAGCGCGGTGGGTCTAACCGCGCATTCTACCGAACATGGCATACTGCCTGCTATTGCCGCCCCAGCTTCTACGCATTCCAGTCAAACAGGTTGATTCATACATAACATAGCCATAGCAGTAGTAGTATACATACGCACACAAGCAGAATTTCATTAACCCTTAAACGGAAATAAGCGAAATATAGAAGCAATTGGCCGCACTAACTCATCACAGATGTTTTTTATAGAACTACCTCATTTTTCAGCCTCAATTAACTAACATTTTAACACATTCATTTGCCTGTCAATGCTTGAAAATCTTAATTGTAATAACAATGTAACAGTCTCATGCGTGCTTTAATTCTTCAGACTAACTTTTCTATGTTTTTAACAGCCTTGCTAACTAACACACAAACATATGCAATACGACTCAGTTTAGTGAACATAATTTGCTTTGAACTGGATAACAGGTCTCTAGTGGATAATGTACTTGTCTTAGTAAAACACACACAAGTCCACAAAACCTCAGGAAATTACTTAAAACACTCAAGAAACCCCATTTTCTATTCGATGATCCCCGAAGCAAGTTTTAATTTCTATCTTTCTCTCTCTCGCCCTCTTTCTTACTTTTCCTAGGCTTCAACAATCTGCAAAGCGGCATTGAGGTACTCAATCTGGAAGCCATTGATCCGCGCACCATTCGCATAATATTTACAGTACCCCCAACCTATGTCAATCTACATGGGCGCGTGGAGCTGCGTTACACGAACGGCCCTGGCAACGATACCACAACGTGGGAGCAACAAATTTTCGCACCACCCGAAGATCTTATTGCCACCTCTCAGATGGAATTCGATCTGCCCGGCTTAGAAGCCAATTCACTGTACAAGGTCAAGATTACACTGATATTGCGTGATCTGAATGCACAACCGTCGAGTCCGATACTGACTGTTAGTACGCCAGCTGATCGTACGATTACACCACCACCACATATCTCTGATTATCGTCCCGACTTCAAGGATGTCTTTAAGCGTATTGAAGATCCTGAGTTGAATGTTAGCGAAACAAACTCTACTTGGTTGCAGCTGACGTGGAAGAAGATCTCCGATGAACAGCTGGAATATGTTGATGGCATACAGTTGCGTTACAAAGAATTGACTGGTCAAATATACTCATCCACACCGCTGGTGCATCGCACACTCACCACTTACACTATTGAGAATTTGCAGCCAGATACTGGCTATGAAATTGGTCTATTCTATATACCGCTGGCTGGGCATGGTGGTGAACTCTTGGCCGGTCATATGATTAAGGTGCGCACAGCGCCGAAAGTGGATGTATACAACTTCGATGTAACGGTTAATGTGACCAAGGTGAAGTCGCAGAGCGTAGAAGTGTCATGGAATGGTGTGCCATATCCGGAAGACAAATATGTGAATATTTATCGTGCTATCTATCAGAGCGATGCTGGTAAGGAGGATTCGAGCGTATTCAAAGTGGCCAAACGTGATAGTACAACGGGCACATTGATTATGGATTTGAAACCAGGCACTAGGTATCATCTGTGGTTGGAAATGTATCTGACAAATGGCAATATCAAAAAGAGCAATGTGGTGAACTTCATGACGAAGCCAGGTGGCTCAGCGATGCCAGGAAAAACTGGTAAGTGCAGTGAAATTAATGTGAGGGACACATTTTTGTAGGTAATATTCATAATTGCAAAATCCTTTTTTCTTCTGAAGTTTTTAATGCTTTCGAAAGGATGCATACATTCTTCAGGGACTTGGGTAATTACAAAATTTTTAATATATTTAGAAATTATTGAAAAGGTAGAATTTATAGGAGTATTCAGATAATATCTCAAATTTAAGTTGTTCAGCTACAGAAATAAATTCAGCAACCGATAGTATTAATATAACTAGGTTAGTTTGCGTTGGTCGTCTCTAGTTGTGGACACACGTAGACATGATAGAGGTCGTGCTTTGTGATACCACCATATTTTGAACGGCAACCACTGCTCCGTTGAAGAAACGACGCGCGTAACCAAAAGTTCTGNAGCTACAGAAATAAATTCAGCAACCGATAGTATTAATATAACTAGGTTAGCTTGCGTTGATCGTCTCTAGTTGTGGACACACGTAGACATGATAGAGGTCGTGATTTGTGATACCACCATATTTTGAACGGCAACCACTGCTCCGTTGAAGAAACGACGCGCGTAACCAAAAGTTCTGCAGCGTTTTTTTAAGTACAAAGTGTACAGTTCAAGAAGGATCAGGTGGTATTTTTTGTCTCTCTACGTGAATTCGGCCCTGTTAGGAAGCCTGCCAAAAGTAAGTGCTCTGGCTTTAAAGCATAAGGTTCTCCTTTGACCGCCTATGAGCCCTCCTCATCCTCCTGGGTCTGAGGTACCTTGGAATTGTGATTGTTCTTGTTTTCGCCTAATATTTGCCGAGCTGAAATGCGGTCCTGGAAGATTGAATGCAGCTGATCACTGACACTCCACTCGTCCTCTCACCACTAATTACATTTCAAGCAAATTCTTGCTCGTCAGTCCGGCAGCCACGTTGTTTACCATAATGCCTCTGTAGCCTGATACCTATAAAAGTCTAATTACAAGGGCATTCCGATGCCATTGAGAGCGAGGTCCGGCATTCCCTGATCAATTCTGAGCGCTCCATGGGAAAGCTCAATGCCCTAGCTATCTCTTAGGTATTAGAGTAAAAACTTATTTCCTTTATTTACGCCATACCCTTGAGCGATATGTCTAGTCAGCTGTGGTCCATCCCATAAAAAATTCACTGTTCCCCTTATCGCCACAAGGATGATTTCCTTGACTTAAAGTGTCATCCTGCGTCAGTCCCCAAAATGGAAATGGTCTGAAATGCTGATGAGGGCATGCCTTTGTATGCGCTCTAGCTTCTTAACCCGCCCTTATTCGCGCATTTGTTTTAGTACGTCGTTACTCGCGCGGTGTCGTATACACCCCAAGCCGATTTTAAAGCAATTGTTTCCTAGTCGAATGAGCGGACGCAACCAGCTTGTATCAGCTGATAAAGTGGGTGAATATACTGAGTTATTAGAGTATTCAGACACAAGTAGCAAAACAAATATAGCCGAGGGTTAACTAGGCTTAGATAACCTCGCTTTGGTTCTTGTAGGGTGTCTAGAAACAGACCCTAATCTGAATCTCCGCTATCAAGTCGTTTACGGCCGCTATACAGACCAGGGGGTAGATTGCTCTAGTTTTCGGGATGTCTCTGTTCACTCTACGCTGCAAGTACGTGTTGTCACAATTAGCGAAAGTTCTACCACTGAACAAGTCGTGGATTAGCTTTAAGAACCTATTTTCAACCGCGAACTTATTTAGTAATTTAACTATTGCCTCCATCAGTACGTAGTTAAAGTCCTCTCGATGTCGAGGAAGATCTCTTTTGTAGCATCTTTATGGGCGCATGTTCCTCCATCCACTTCGCAATTGTATGCAAGGCAGTCTCCACAGACCTTCCCCTATTATAAGCATGTTGTTGATAGACGATCTCGAGAAATGCCGTTTCTTATATGCAGAGCAATTAGTCTCTCCAGCGGCTTCAGCAGAAACAAAAGTACTTTCACAGTAAGTAAAACATGAAATCCTCTTCTGCGCCTTGAAATGAACGACACTTTGATGACCCTCCAAGCTCTGGCCTCACACAATTTGCTATCCAGCCCCTTGCACGATACTACCGCAGCCCTTTCTAGCTTTTTAGATATGATGCCATATGGCCATGGAGATTGAAGGGTTTTAACGAGTTTATTACACATGCCGGGCTACGATTATCCTGCTCCCTTGCCCAAATGGAGGCTTCTACAGGCGATGGGTTACAAGGAAAATTGGCATCAAAGAGCTGCGTTTGCGTCTCCTCACTGCTAATAGTCCAGTTTCCTAGTAATTTCAGCTCTGCTTTTGAGATTTTTTGTAACTTCTCGAATTGATGCGCTAGAGTTTCCCTGGTCTCCTGTTCACGACACTCCTGCCCCGGTCCGAATTAATGTTACCGATTTTTGTGGTTATCTCACTACATCTAGCCCATACTTTCGTCATTTTCGTTGTACAACTGTAAGAGTGGCCTATGAAGGGAGTTAGTCTGTTCAAGAGTCAGACTGGTAACGCTTTTGGCAGTCTAATCTGCTATATCATTACCCAATATTTCTTTATGACGGGGTACCGAATAAATATGCGGCCTTCTGTTTGCAGCCAGCATGCCAATGGCCTCCCGGCTGTGGAGGATGTTTTTCGATGAAATGCTATATAAGGTAACAACTTCCTTAATTGCCGCTTGACTGTCTATGTAAAATTATACGTGCGTGTATTTGTGCGGGTTGGCTAGCTCTGCTGCTATCCACATTGTGAAAACCTCTTCTTGAAATATGCTGCAATGGTCAGGTAACCTTACAACCCGCCTGACGTTCATTTCCTGGCCGTATGCTCCATCGCCCACTCCCATTGTGATTTTAAAACCGTCACTGAAAATGTTTGGAGATCTACGGCTAGGTTTCATTCCATTGCGCCATCCCCCCCTCCTTGGCACTTAAAGCCAGTTGTCGTATAATCTGTGTTGCCTGTGATTCTTGCCTGAATTGAGCTGTGTTCAAAAATTCAAAAATTTAATTTCCCAATGGCCGCCAATCTACCTGTGGATTTAGCAGCCGTTGGAGTAGACCTCAAAGCGGTATTCCACCAAAGCACCATAGAGTAGTGTTGGCCTGAGAATTGCTGTGTAGGTTTTCCGCGATTAAGTAAATGGGCGGAGTATTTCCAGAGCAGCACTGGGAGTAGACCTCAATTCTTCCGTGATGCACAGTGCCGCGAGGTGCTGAACCTTCTTCATTGAGCCGGGGCATGAGGACTTTTTTGCGTCAAATTAGACTACACCAAAGCGCCATATTGGTCTAAATATTGCCCTGTAGCAATGCATCCCGACAGGTGGCCCCAAGGGACTCCCAGCACCATTTTGCATGTATATAGGGCGTTAATGG